TGCGAAGTGAGAAGAGAACTGGATTGTGGGCAAAACTAGCAGGTCCGCAGGAGGAAACGAGTGACTGGATTTGGCTGCCAGGCACCCCTGGGACCCGGCGGCCATCTGGCAGGAGCAGAAGAGGTCTCCGGGAGGTGGGAGGGAGTGGGTCCCGCTGCAGGTGAGAGGCTGGCCCGGCCCTCCAGCCGGGGCGCGGTGGGTGGCGAGCTGCTGGAATCGCCGGCCAGGGGCCGGGGGCCGGGAGCCGGGAGCCGGGAGCCGGGAGCCAGGGGCCAGGGGCCAGGGGCCGTGGCCAGCTCAGACGCTTGTCGGCTGAGTCCAGATGGCTGCGGGCCGCAGTGTGTCGGTGGGTCGGTGTGCGCTGGGTGGCGACGGCGGCCCGGCCTCGGCGCGGGTGTCCGCGCGCGGCGCCGCAGGCCTGGCGGTCAGTCTGGCGGAGGCGGCCCGCAGCGGCCGGGCTGTGGGTGGTCTGTCCGGCGCGTAACGGGAGCCCAGCCCGCAGCTGGAGCGCGGGCCCGAGGCCAAGTGTGCTGCGCGGGAGGGGCCCGGCTGGCCGCAGGGGGCGGCGGCGCGCTCCCGAGCGGGGCCCGGCGGCGGCGGCAGCGGGGACCTGGAGCGCTATTCCTGGAACAAAGGCAAGCACTACGCGGGAGGGGACAGCAGCGCGGGGGAGAGCGCGGCCGCGCGATCGCGGCGAGGGGGAGGGAGGGCGAGGCGCGGCGAGGCGCCGCCCGCGGCCATCTGCGCGGCGGCGGCGACGGGCGCAGCGCACCCTCCCCCGAGCACCCGCCCCCAGGCCCGAGGGGCTCCCGGCCTAGAAGTCCTCGTCCTCCACCCAGCCAAACACCCGCTTCATCTCGGCCAGGAAGCCCCGGTAATCATTGAGGAGGGGGCTCTCCTTCCTGATGTAGGGGATCACCCACTGCAGGGCCGGCCCCGTGAGGCGGGTGATGAGGAACGTCACCTTCAGGGCATCGCTGGAGAACAGGGTCTCGTCCACTAACATGTAGGCGCCCGTCTGCACGATGAACTCCGGGAGGCGGTCGGTGTCGCCGTCAAAGGTCTCGGGGAAGGGAATCGGGTTCCTCCACCGCCGCGTCTGGGGCCGCAGGGGCAGGGCCAGGAGGGC